GGTTCTGGTTTTGGCAATGCTAGCAGCACGGCACCAGGGAGAAGACTGTTAATAGGTCCACTGCTTTGGTTCAGACTGAAATATCTGAACAACTGTTCGATGCATTAGCAAAAAATTTGGTTCATTCATTCATGTTCCCCGGAGGATTAATCCTGCTGACTTTGGTGACCCCCTGACTTTTTGTCTGGCGTCACCATGAGGTTGACATTTGGATGATTTATGACCAAACACCTGCAAATCTAGTGACATTCCCATTAACATCAACTTAGTTTGTGTTTAGTGCAAATTGGCAATTGTTAGCATGCTAACATGCTAAACTGAGATTGAACATGATAGGCATTACACCTGCTAAACACCAGCCTGTTAGCATTTTTGCAATGCGCATGTGAGCATGCTGACTTTACTGTCAAGCTCAAAGCACCACTGTGCCTAAGAACAGTCTCACAGAGCTACGAGTGAGGCTGTAAACTTGGTCTCATTATAACATAGAGAGACGGTTTAATTAGCTGTATTTCTGTTGTTTTTTTAGACTAATCATTGAGGAAATGATTACTTCACACTGACCTAAGTGCCTAGTTTGACATCTCCTTCAAATTAAACTATGTGATTACCATTCAGACTGGCAAGACCGTGATTAGGTGCAGATGAGCCTGTGTCTTTTCATTGTGTCTTTGTCTGAGTGCCTTGTTAGCAGATTGTCAATGATGGTGCTTTTGTTTTCTCTCTCCAGGAACCCAGCAAAGAGGGAAGTGGTGGCAGCAGCAAAGGACCCAAACCGCACAAACTGACCAAGGAGCACCGTGAACGGCCCCGAAAAGACTCTGAGAGCAAAGCCACATCGAAAGGAGACAACGACAGAGACGGAAGCAGCAAGAGTGGCCGTGATCCTTCCTCTTCCTCGTCCTCATCTTCAAAAAAGCCGTCGGAGATCAAAGTGAAAGATGAAGTCAAGGTCTTACCCAAGGCTGCCTTCAAGGAGCCTAAACTCACACTGAAGGAGTCAAAGATGGAGGGCATGTCCCCGAAAGGAGGGGGGGCTGGGAGCGGAGGGGGCGGCGGGGGAGGAGGCGGGGGAGGGCCCGCCGAGTCTAAAGCCCCAGGGAAACGACCCTCCACTGTCGAGTCTCCCAAACCCAGTGCTAAGAAACAGAAGAAGGGCAGCTCAGAGGGGCCGAAGGGGCCGTCCAGCGGGGCCTTCACGGGAGCCTCACCTCGTGTCTCCTCCTCATCTGCTGCCAGTCAGCCCTACTCAGAGAAGAAACCTCAGAAGGAAAAAGGTCGCTGGGCCAAAGGCAAAAATGACACGCAGGAGCCGAAGGAGCCCAAGAAACTTCCAGAGTCCGAAGAGTCGAATTCAGAAGATGAAGCATCGTCGAAGTCAGAGGTACGTTGGCTACACGGGAGCTACATTTTCAGAATTTTGGAAGTGAAGAAGCTTTAAGAAAAGAATTTTACAATGTCATGGTTTCAAAAATTGTTTTTTTTTTCTAATCATTGTTTTGATAATAAATTATATTAGTGATAGATTATTATTATTATTGCTTAATCTGCAGATTATTTACTTGTTTAATTGATTAATAGTTTTTCAGAAAATAGTGAAAATGCCTGTTACAGTTTCTGAAAGCTTCAAATGTGTTTTTTGTGATCAAGAAAACCAAAAGAAAACATTCAATTTACTTTAAATAACTAAATTCAGCTCCAGTTTCATATTGTTCCTGTGTTCATAGAGAGAAATGAAAGACCTAATTAGTTCCAAAGCTCAGATCGTGAATGTCTCTGTCTCCCAAAAATAGAGTCAGGACAAAAGGCGGCCCTTCAGAAGTCAAAAACAGCACAATGTTAATCATGTTAATCCTTAACTCTGATCATTTCTCTTTTTTTGTCCCAACTTTCTGTCCGTGTCTTTGCTCCCTTGTTTTCCCTCATCATTTTCCTCTCCTTCTTCTTCTTCTCCTCCTCCTCTTACAGCAGTCAGCCGTTTCCAGTCCTTCCAACTCCAGTTCAAGCTCTGACTCCAGTTCAGATTCGGACTTTGAGCCAGGACAGAAACAAGGGCAAGGTACAGGCACCTATTCACCTTGTGTCATAGAGCCGTAATAAGGGCGTGTTAAAGAGTTTTCTGGAGGTAACGGGTTAAAGCGAGTTATATTACAGTTTGTGTGACTCTGTCCTCTTCTCCCAGGCCCCCTTCGATCCATGGTGGAGGAGATCCAATCGGAAGAGTCGGATGATGACGACAGCAGCTCAGAGGAGGAGACGCCTATCAAGACCAACCCCCCCAACCGTGACTCTCGGTCAGTCTCGCTAAAGACCCCTGTGGTCGTCAGTAAAAACACTGGTCCTAGAATGCACTTTAACTTTGCCACTGCTAAAACACACATGTAGCTCTAACTCACTTTACCCTGCCTGGAACTAGATCCACATTCTCCTCTTTCAAGTTTTTTAATGCCAAAAGGTGCCAGTGTTATGATCAAAATCTATTGTTTTACCACATTTTCAAAACATAAAATCCGTGCACTAGTTCGGGGCGTGTCTCTAGCCAAGTTTGCATCCAAATTTAACATAAATTTTAAACAAATTTCAAGAAAGCCTGCAAAAGAAAATGCAAATTAATGTAGAATTTGCATCCAGCACTGCTATGAGTATATTAAGAGTTGAGAGCTTCAAGATAAATACCTGGTGATGCTAATTCTCCAGTTGGGTGTCAGTAAACTTCTGCAGAAGAAGAGGGCTCAGTGAGATGATGTATTTAAAAGAGCACAAAAACAATGTGATTAAAAAATGTGACAGCTATGTTTGTTCTATGTATCAGTTTGAGGAAGGTTACCTGCTAGTGGCTCTACACATCAGATATTTTCATCTCTCGCCCTTTTTAGTCTCTGCAGTTGACATTTAAGTCACATACATCATGATTTGTTTGCTTAGTCTGTTTCCATTAAACTTTGATGCATCTTGTTTTTATCAATACACCATCTCTTCCATCTTACCGAAGTGTAAGAACCGTTTTTGTGATATTGTAATCTTTTTTTCTGACATTTACAGATTTTTTCAAGTGGTTAGAAATGTTCTGCTTGCATCTGTATTCTTGTCTATTTACAGTGAACTGTAGCACCACAATTTAACTGGCTTTTATCACAAAATCTGACTCAGAATTACAGACTGACAGATTTTAGTAGACCGATCTTGCACACTGTGACATGCGGTGGACTTAAAAGATGGTCAGGGTTTCTGTCCCCACAATATTGTTTAATCTTGTTGGTTTTTAAATATCTGCTATGTTTCCTTCACTGGGTTATAACAGACGCTGTGTCAGCAGCAAATAATAATTACAGTCAAAGATGCACAAATTCAAGTACAATGCCAAGCAGCATGACACTGTTCTGTCTGTCAGTCTGTGTGTGATTGACCTCTGACCTCGTCCTGTCCCCCCCTGTCAGACTCAGCCTGGACAGCGAGAGTGACAGCAGTGACGGCTCGCACAGCCCCAGTCGAGACCCCGCTCCGCCCCAGCAGAAACACAGTTCCTCCAATAACAAAGTGAGTCACACAGACCTCATTTTACCGCCCGCTTTCATAGATGTATTGACATGGACGGAAATAGTTTGACTAGAAGATAAACAGTAAAACCGCACATGAATGATTACAGTTGTAGACCTACTGCCTGAGTCAGAGTGTGACCTGCTGTTTTATGATTCTGTTCTTGTTTATTCTTCAAAATAGTGCTGCGTTTTTCACCCAGCATTTTTCAGTGTTAAGCTGTCAACATAATCCTCAGACAACATGATCAGCAATTTTCTAAGGCATTACATTTTGTATCTTTATATTTTGAGACTAAAATTGACTAAAGAAATTAGTTCTGTGGTAAAACTATTCAAATAATACTGTAAAAAACAGTCTAAGGCATTTTTGTAGATAGAGACAACGCATTTTGAATTTAAATGCTGTATTCATAATGTCTGGGTTCCTGCCCAACACAAAATAGCCTAAAGACATTCACAGACGTGGTTACATTTCAGCTGTATTAACTGTGATCGGTGTCCCAGATAGTCTTGCGGTCTCACATCACTGCCTCTGTCTCTCCTCTCTGTATAATTTCTGTCCTCCTTTCCCTCTTTCTTGCTCTCCTTTTCTGCAGGTTTCAGGCAGAAAGAGTCCAGATTCCTCATTTCGTTCAGAGAAGGTGTTGAAGAAGGGATACGACAAGGTAGGAAGGGTAAATCAAACTTTTTTTATGCTTTAACTCACATACACATACACACACACAGGATTTTGTCCAGATTCAATGAGTGCATTAATGAATACAAGATGGAGTGAGGGCCAGTGAATTGATCCAGATGTGCAGACAGACTGGCCTATGAACCCTTGAAAAGAAATCTCCTCTTTCTTCTTTGCAACAAGATGATTCATGTAGTGATAAAATGAAACTCTGGTAAACAGGTCTTATATCAGTCCTTCACATTAAAGTACGCTCAGTTTCATGGATTTTATTGAAACGTTGGGAAAAAGGTCAAATCTGACACTGATCAAATTCAAAAAACGAGATCTACTTCAGGGTGTAGTTTAAAAAAGAAAAAGTCCAAAGTGAACGTCTTGCCTTTAGTGAGCAAAAAGAAACACCCAAGAGGCTGTAAACAATATGTTTGGTGTCAGTCACGTGAAGTTTATTTAAATAGCCCCAAAATCACAAGCTTTGTCTGAATTTGTCAAATTACAATCTAAACAAAGGATAGTTTGACTGTATGTGTACCAGTCGAGTCTTTCTCCTGGCATTTATGGTTTTCAGTCAGTTTTTGTTGGCGGTCAACCACACAAAGGATGCATGTTAACAATAAAAACACACCATACACCCTAAACACACCCAAAACACCCTTCTGTTTCTAGATTTGTAGATTCACTATGTTGCACCAACGTTAAATAGCCATACAGACGAAAAACAAGATCATAGAAGACTAAGAATATCGTTAGTCTTTATTTCCCCCTCTGAGTCTTGACTCTCTAGGACTGTCACTTTTTCAAAAGAATCAAGATTGTAATTCTGACCAACATATAATGCATTAAAAATGATTAGCTTGCTTTGCCTGCGCCACCTTACTTGAGTGACAAACTAAGATTACAGAAAGGCACCAAGCAGCCTCAGGGCATGTGTCCACGTTGCGTTTTTCCAGAGGGCATTTTTTCAGCATCTTTTTCAGTTGTTCCCAAAGAGTCAAGAGCGTATGCAGCCGCATGCGGTCGCCTCTAGAATAGGCGCTGCCCCCAGCGTCTTTATCAGTCATGATTATCTGGCCAGTAAGATCCCCTAGTTTTCTCCATTTTGCAATAGCAAAGAGAACAGCACTGTAGTTAGGGCCAGACAGATAATGCAGTTTAGGAGAAACCCCCCACAAGAGTTAGAGACACAGCCTGTTGCAAGCGCACACTGACCATGCTGTTTCTCCTCGGTATACTCTGCAGGCCTACACAGAAGAACTGGTGGACCTCCATCGCAGACTGATGGCTTTAAGGGAGCGTAACGTCCTACAGCAGGTGTGTGTTCATGCCTCCATTTTCACTGCATACTGTTTTCATTTTGATAAAACATCATGCCATTTTCCCATGCCATTGCTATTGTTGTGACAGTGACTTGTGCGTGTAGGAGGCTGTACAGTCTGTTCTTTAGCAGAGCTTCAGTCAGCACCATCAGACCTGTAGCAAACACTGTCACCCCTGCTTGCTACAGTCATTACAAAGCTCATCAAGTTATAATGGGCAAGTGTCCTTTTAAGCGTGAACCTTAATCAAGCTATCAGTTTTAATTGGTTAATACATCCATCCATTTTATGTCACTTAGCCAGGTCCAGGTCGCAATAACTAGATTAGATTAAATTGATTATATCATTAGGAATTATTGTTATGTACTGCCGGGAAGTGCTGAAAGAAACGGTGCAGAAAAATGTGATAAAGATAAGTAATTCCAGGCTGTATCTTTCTGACTGGTTTTATATCATACTTTCCAACTTGATCTTGAAACAAGGATTAAATTTCAATCCATGTGGTATTAAAAAAGTTTTAATTTAACCTGGTTAACCTTGCAATTTTCTTTTAATATATTGTTGGAGTTATTTTGTAGGAATAATGTGATGTGAAAGACTAAATGATTTTCGATCACTTCTTCCAGATTGTGAACCTGATTGAGGAGACGGGCCACTTCAACGTGACCAACACCACCTTTGACTTTGACCTCTTTTCACTGGACGAATCCACCGTCCGCAAACTACAGAGCTACCTGGAGGCGACAGCCACGTGACAGGAAGTGGAAACCGGCGTGGGGAAACCGGCCTGTGGATGGCGGCTGCGGCGGAGGTGGAGGTAGACTCGCCACCACCGTCTCCTCTTTTTAAGGAGGGGACGAGCGGCCACATCGTGTCGCAGCTGTTGTCATAGGCCTGACTGAACCATCAAACAACTACCACACAAACAGAAACACGCGAACAAACACAAGCACACATGAAGACACATCACCTTCACGTGACGCTGGGGAGGACACTGAAGGAGGAGGTGTGGAAGGGAGGGTGGAGGAGGAGCGGAGTGTCTGAACTCCGTCTACAGTCAGGATTTTCACTACACATCTCTTTTCTTTTTCTTTTTTTTTTGAGTCTGTGCAGAGCTGTGGTATGCACCCCACACCCCCTCCTTCACCCTCCTGCACTCCCGCCTTTGCAAACCCCATACTTCCCCTCCTCCTCCTCCTCCTCCTCCTCCTCCTTCACACGCACACTCCTTACTCGGCAGAACACTTCAGTCCCCTTCCCCCTGCTGTCAGCTGGAGCTCATTTCTCTCCCAACATACTCTTTGAGTCGTGTGTGTGTGTTGACTGTGCATGTCTGTGTGTGCGTGCATGCGAGCGCTGCAGAGGTTTTTAAGAGGAGATGTTGTCTTTGTGGTTACCGACTTCTCTTTGTTCGTGAAGCTCGAGCACAAACAACAGCCGGTTTCCCTCCTTCACACACACGGCAAACAAATACAGATTCAGGTCATACTTTACTTCAACCACCCCCCTTCAGCTTTTATAAGCAGTGTATGTAGTTTATAATACACTATAATGCAGTTATAAGCAGATATATGTACGTATACTGAAACTCCCTCTACGTGGAGGTTGGTGTATGAACTGATAATTAGTGACATCCTAGTAAAAACACTTACTGTACCTTAATAGACATCTTAAAAAGTCCTTATATGTGCTTATAACTGTATTACAGTGTGTTGTGAACCCCTTATTTAATCTTTACAGTGCTTATAGATAATATAGGTGAGTTACAGTAAAGTGGTACCAGGTTCATGCACATGTTTGTCTCCCAGGTCCTTACACCTAACACTGTACATGAAGACACTGACACGTCGTGTGCTGTATGTGTGTATGTGTGTGTGTGTGTGTGTGTGTGTGTGTGTGTGTGTGTGCGCGACTGTGTTTTGGATGAGTTTTCTCTGTTGTCTGAACATTTGAAAACACATGTTGTGTTAAGTTTCCCCTCTACTTCCTCGCACTGAAAGCTGAGCCTTGACCTCCTCCCAACAGCTCACCCCCCTCCCTATCCCAATGAAGCCCCCTCACTCCATCCCTCCTCCTCCTCATCCTCCTCCTCCTCCTCCTCCCTTATTCTCATATTGGCGTGCATGAAAGGGCTCGACTGCTCGCGGCCAGAGCAGTGGAGGATCACTCCTGAATTGCCTTCTAAGTGGTGGGTAGGGTAGGGTGGTGGGTGGGGGTTTAAAAAAAAAAAAAAAAAAAAAAAAAAAGCCGTGAAAAAGTAGCCATACTTGTCTCCCAGAATCCAAAAATAAGAAAAAAAATAATAGGGGCCACGCTTTTTTACATTTTATTTTTCTACAAGTGCATTTTGTGTATTTATTCCCAGACTGCGGTTAAGATAACCTGTGAGCTATGAATGTATATCGCTTTTACTTTTATACGGCTAGCAACAGCCCCACTCTAGTGCCTTTTTCTGCGACTTGCAGTGTGAGGGGGGGTGTGCGCTCTGTTAGCCATGGTCACACAGATTGAACCCCCCCCAATACCCCCCTCGGGGAAACAAGTGTTAATAGGAATGCCTGAATATCCAGTATTGTCTTAATGGCTTCCATCCTGCTTCTCTTTTTTCCAGTGTCTTTGTAGGCTGTTGTCATTTTATCAGTGACATTTCTGTTAATCAGGCCCTCTAGAAATTTTAAGAGCACTATTTTTTTCCCCTGATGGTGGTCATGTTTTTATGTTCTTGCTTTCTGAGATTGGGTTTAGTGTTTCAAAGAGGAAGCATCAGGCGACTGTGTGGTAGTTACTCAAATCAATTAGCTCTAGTTACAGTTGCTTGAGCTGTGTCGTGTGTTTTGTGAGATGTTGAATAGGGTCGGGGTTCCCTCTTCAAGCGGTTTCGAAGAATTTGAACTAAAGGTGGAGCGTTTGATACCAAGTAGCCAGGCACTTGAAGAGCAACGACAAAGGGCAGAAAAATAAGCTAAAGAAAACCTTCCTTGTGTTTTCTTTGTCTGGATATTTGAAATGTATATCTCAGGGGCCTGCATCATGAAGCAACATCAGTGCGTTCGACTGATAACTTTAATCCACGCTGACCGATGTCACAAAGCTGGCTGACTTTAAATCACAAAAGCAGTGCTGCATTAGTTTCACTTTAGAGAATTCCTTCAATACCAGTAAACGATCAGTAATAACGAGCAAAAAAGCGACATGTTGACACACCTGTTGACTCACTTGGCTGACATTTAAGTCGTGTTTGTAGCACAACCCACTCTTTTTATTTTTGTGCCTTCATTAGTGAAGACAGGAGGGTGTCAGGAAATGAGGGGAGAGAAGAGAGGGGGCACGACATGGAGCAAAGGTCCCCGTCAGACTCAAACCTGCAATGTTGCGGTTCATCATCAGTGTCTGAAGCCCACAGTGCTTCTAGCATGTAGCATGAAGCAAGTTGATATCAGTACTGAATGACATTTACAGTTGCATTTGATTCAACTGAAATTATTTAATTGGTACAGTGTAGACTATTTTGCATTAATGACCCGTTACTGCCACCCAGAAGAACATGCTGAGACAATGATCATAAATACTAGAACCTTCAGTGTTGACAGGCTATTACTTGTGACATGGAACCAATCAGATCATGCTGTGGGCGGGACATTGAGTGAGGCAGCAGAGTGGAGACTCCCGATAGAGGCAGGTGGCACAGGAGAGCCAAAGTAGCCATGTTTCAGTAATTAATTGTATGGGCTGTTGGTAGAATAAGAGAACGATTCCAATAATTGTAAAAATGCTGAATTAAGTGGCTGGTAATGGGCCAGGCTGATAAGCGGTTGATTCTTAGTGGTTACATGTAGAGTTGAGCAATATATTGATACTATATCAATTTCATGATATGAGCTGAGATGCGGTCTTAGATTTTGGATAATACCATGTTGTCTTTTCCTGGTTTTAAAAGCTGCATTACAGTGAAGTGACTTCATTTTCTGAACTTACAGACTGTTCTAGCTGTTCTGTATCTTCATTACTGATGATTATTTATCAGATATCTCACTGTGTCAATATTTTTTGAAAGCAACAACGGTCAATCCCTCAATCGTCGCAATATCGACATCTGGGTATTTCATTAAAAATATTGTTCTATCTGATTTTTATCCATATCGCCCAGCCCTAGTTACAGGCAGGTTATTATAGTTTGTGCACTGATTTAGAGCAATTAAATTGTTGAGCAGAACCATGTTTCCTGTGTCCAGATGTATATGACGTTTATCAAAGGGACACATGGCAGCCAATTAAAGGTTTGTTTTCTGTGGCTGCGGAATACTGAGCAATAATTAAGATTTCTTTTCCATTTAAGCCCTTTTTATTTACACATTTACTCTCCAAATTTTTGCAGCAGAAACGCTGTTATTTTGTAAATTTGTTTGTTCATCAGGAACCAAAGCACAAAATGTCAGGAATCATTTTCTCCTCACGCCAGAACATGTTGATAATGGCGTCAGTGTACGATTTAATGAATCCTGTGTAATAACGCCGGCTATTACCTGTATTCTGTTGCCTTTGATTCTGACTATTTTTGTTTAATTTTTATGTTATATATGTAAATATTGTTACATTCACTTTGTTGCCTACTTTTCTTGATCTTTTTTTTTTTTTTTTTTTTTTTAAATCTTTTTAACTTCCTGAGTATTGCTTCTTGCTGCCGCACTGACAAAATTTCCCCAGAGAGATCCACAGTTTTATCATATACATTAATAATGTGAAAGGCATCTAACTCCTACCCTTCGTGGTAAATTGTGGGTTAACCAGCCAGCCAACAGAGCCAGGCACCAGCTTTGTGAGACCGGTTTCAAGGATCACCACTGTTCAGTTTTGTGAAGCCAGAAAACCCCAGAGAAAGCCAGAATGAGGTGAACTTGCTTCATGATTCAGGCCCCTGGTGTGTTAGTTCCTGTGGCCCCTCTAGGCTTTACACACACAGACACACACACACACACACACACACACACACACACACACACACACACACACACACCAACACCAACACACCAGCCCACTGTGGTATAAACCTTCAATGAGCTCCCTCCCCGCCTCCTCCTGTTTTTTTTCCTGCCGACAGTGTTTTTATTCTGATGCTTCGATAGCTTTAATACCTTTCTCTCTTTTTCTGTTGCCTGCCTGGCTCAGTGACATGTACAGTACACACTCCCTCTGCCCTTACTGTAAACGCTGTCTGAGCACGGAAAATGTGTCTCAAGAAAAAAAAAAACAAGAAGAAAAACCTGGATTCCTGCCGCCTTATGTGCCCTGCAGTAACCCCCCCCCCCTCCTGCCCTCACTTCTCCCCCTGTCCCGCCCTCATTTTCTCTAGGTGTGCCTCTGTCCACAGAACTTCAGGCCGTGATTACTGAGAATGAACTTTGCAACTTTGTGTGAGTGACGTTTGTGCATCTGCGAGTGTGTCTGTCAGCGATAGGAGAGATTTTAAAAACCGACCTTCCTGTCCTCTTCTCTGTGCATCGATGTGGGAACTTTTAAGTCCTAGTTCATGAACTCTGACCTTTGACCAGGCACTCATTCAGTCCCTTGTTGTGGTGGTTGAGAAGGGGAGGTTACGTGGGGACTTGAGAGAGAAGCCCCACTGTCTACCCACAGTCAATGTTTTATTTATGGACCTCTGCACTTTTGGCTGTGATGACTTCAGTACTTAAGTAGTTACCTGAACTGTATTTTTAAGGATTTTATACAATATTTACATGCAATACAATATGAATTGATTTTGTTTTCTTTGCCAACCATTTTTTTTGTTTGTTTCTTATTTAATTGTCTTTATTTTGGCATGATTTTGTCACTATTATTCACAAACAAACATGCCTGTTGGATCTATTTTAGGCGTCAAACGTTATGGAGGATGTTCCCTGTATGTTTTTGTGTGTCATGAATCTGATGACAGCCGAAACACCATGAAGCAGGTGTAGGAAAATGTTTGCTGGATGAGCTAAACTCGATCACCCTCTGCTTCCAGTAGAAACAACTGGACCAGAACGAGGACGAGTGGAGTCCAACACTTTGGTTCAGGGAACTGAACTGTTTATTTTCTGTGTCATGTCCAGTTATGATTTGAGTGTTTCTTTTCTACTCATTCATAGAAGTCTTTACCCAAACGAAAACAGTCAGCTAATTTTATTATGTCATAACTTGAGCCTGAAGAAACACATCATAGGAAACGATAGAGTTGTGAAGTGTGTTGGAGCAGACAGTGTTACGCGACTTACAGCTGGAGCACTTTTACTGCTTGCATCAATACAAGACTCTCCTCGTCCAAATGATTTTAAAAAACATCAGAAAATATCTCGACTCCCAAGGAGCATCATGGCAAGAAACACCCAGTCTTTAATTATTGGGTCAGTTTTGGATGAATTCTTCCAATATAGTGTCGCACTTTGATAACGACAAACTGTTTCGAATTTAATGCCTCATTCGCACCCCTTCTGAGCTAAGGTTCATGGGTATTGTAGTATTCAGAGCCACCTGCCAAGCCAAAAAAGATAACTAAAACCTGATTTCTCATAAACTAAGTTGAAGTAATTGAAACTATTGGTCCTAAGATGAACCCATATAACCTTTACATCATCTGAAAAGAGTCCTGAGTTTCTGTGTTGAGGAACATTGAAGATATCATTGAAAGAAAACAGTGAAAATGGGAATTAAGAAGGGAGAGAAACACTTCCAGTCCTTCTCACTTTGCAACTCTGTGCAGGTCTGTGGGAGTGGAGCATTTCAGCTGAGACTATATTATATATAATACATGTATAATACAGCAAAGGTAGAATATCTACTGTGTGGATCTTTAGAGGACGAGGAAAAAGCAAAAATATAGAGCAAATGGTTGCAAATATGTGGAGGGGGTGGGGAGGGAGGGAGGGGGCATGTGCAGACGGGATGTTTCCTGTGTCAGTGGTCGTCATAATGTGTCTGTGACAAGGGGACAGGGTTGCTTGTATTTATAAAGGTTTGAATTTTTTTTTTTTTTTTTTTTTTTTTAATTGGGGTTAAAAGGGGGGGAGGGTGGAGTCCGAAATGTGTTCCATATATGTGGTCCAAGCAGAACAAATGAACTGGATGTGCAGAACAATTTGGTATTTTTTGAAAATAAAAAAACTTGGCATTACAATGCCACCATGTGGCCATATGATGCAAGTTGTTAACAAGGACAAAACATGTTATTTTAATGTTATTTTTTATTTTGAAATCATATTATTAATAAAGTCATTAAGTACTGTTGTCCCTGCGTGTGTCCGATCATCATTGACCGCCGTGTGACCCGGTCATGGCTGCCTGTGCAGGGTTCATGCAAAGTTCATGTGATGGTCAATGCAGTCTGCGGGGTTAAAAGGGCACACAGTGGGCTGGGCAATAATGATCATGATGCATTGACCATCTATCGAGGAAATGTCACTATAGGGAGGGACATTTATTAGCAGAAGCTGATCAATAAATTTTACTCTGTGACGCAGCTTTGCTCTGAGAAAAAACTAGTGTGAGCTTTTGCAATAACGTTTATTATCTGTCCCTTAGAATATGTCTGGGTGTAATAGGTCACCTTGTGTTACAAATTATTAATTACTGCTGTATAGCAATACCAAAATTTCATCTGAATTTAGTTGTTATAAAGAACATTGGGCATTTGAATTACGGGATTAGCTGCTTCTTCTTTTTTTTTTTTTTTTTTTCAGAAAATTTACTATCTTGCAAAATATAAATATTGAAATTAAAGCTGAAATGATTATTTGGTGAAGCGATTAGTCAATAATCAGAGCTGTTTGATAACCAAGTAAGTGTTAAAGTCAATTATAAAGGAAAAAAGGCAAAAAAATTCACTGGTTCCAGCTTCTCAGATGTGAATATTTGTGGGGTTTTGTAGGTTTGGACTTTTCAGATTAAAAAATAAAATAGAAAAAAAGAAGCACAGACAGATTGTGATTATGAAAACAATCCTAATTTTAAATGTAATATTACTTACACAGAGAGAGAGGATTTTATCATTATAACCCACTGCTAGTTTCATTGCAGCATCTGAACAACCTTGTTTTTTTTTATTATTTTAGTGAAATCTTGAGTGATTATCCTGAAACTTGAACATATAACACATACAAAATAACTTTTTACTGTACTGGAAATGACTCACAGCAGCCCTACATTACCCAGAAATGCATTTGGACGTCTGTAGCAGACAGTACTTTTTTTGTGTGTTACTGTTGGCTGAACTGTCTGAACACACCTTCCTCTAAGTCTTTAACAGCTGACATCTGACTCACAGCAGGAGAAGCACAGGTGTTACTAATAACATTACCGATGGCTCCAGTCCATCAAGATAAACAGTCAGAAAAATTGCTATGGAAAATGCCTGCAGGCCTTTCAGCTTGTTGGTGAAAAACTCAAAAGACCCACAGCGGCCGTCATGGGAGATAAGTTACTACTATTACTCTGAGAAATAAAAACTACATATGTTTTCAGGCTGTAAGTCTGTGATAGTGTTATATTGGACTGATAACCCTGTTTTTACATTGTAAAGTAATCAAATATATTCTTAAACAGTCCTGTAATAATTCAAAACTTATATACCTTGAGAATGGAGGCACCTCACACACAGTTAAAGTCAGATACTGTCCATTACATTGTGCAGGTGCAATGATGATAGCAACTATTACTCATGTACAGCTCTAAAGTACATTTTAAGGTACTTAACTTTACTTAAATGCTTCCATCTCCTGCCCCTTCAGTTCTTCTATTCCAGTAAATTTAAGATAAAAACTGTACTTAAGTACACGTATTTGAGAATTCTAACTAGAACCAGTTACTTGCAGATTCTGATTAATACTATAAAATATAATTACATTAAATTACTTATTATAGGTTAATATGCGACTTTATTGCTCCCCAGAGAGAAATCTGCAAGCTCCCCAGCAGTATATTAATCAATCAATTTAAATCAGCTCCATCTTCACCAGCTGCAACATAAAAGTGATGAACACACTGATGCATCAATAATTATAACAATATTGTCATGTAAATACTGAAATTGACTCATTCTGCATGATGAGTACTTTTACTTTAGGTATTTTAAGTATTTTCTAGATCTAATACTTACTATTTTTACTGGAGTAAAATTTTGTGTGATCATTATCATGGCCAAAAGAATTACAGATAACTATCTCAATATCTATATACAATAATAATAATAATAATAATGATAATAATAATAATAATAATAATGCTTTCAGTCAAATTCATTTTTAACTTTCTTTACAGAGTGTTTTGTCTCTTTTGGTTAAACAGTCATACTCAAAATACGAGTGTGGGGAAGTGAAGAGGGAGACAATGCAAGAAAGGAAAGCAATGGAAATCATGTAAAAGGTGCTGGATAATCTACACAATATTATCATGTGTATTCGTAGCAAGATAAATATTTTTTAAATATCACGGTCATTGTAAATACCGCTGTATGACAACACCCATGTTGTAATTGTTTTTCTTAAGTAGAAAAAAAAAGACATTAATTTTACTGGGTAAATTACCACAGTACATATCGAGTTTACCGACATAACTGCAGTAGCTTTAACACTAGATTATAAGAAAAATAAAAATGGTCCCCACCAACGGAACAGGACTGGTAAACCTGCCCTTTCCGTTCAAACCCTGTATTTTGCCCTCCCTGAATGTTGGTGTTTAGTCTGGCAGATAGGTAAACAGTTCTTTAAATGAGCGACAAAGATTTCCAGGTCTGGTCTTAAGTTTATTGCCTCCCACAGAAAGGCACTGTAAAACTACATGAAACACACATAAGGAGAACATTAAGTCACGTTTTAAATCAGAAACATATTTAGCACAATTGTGACAGTAATACCAGCTATATTTTGAATTAGTGGTGGTTGAAACTGGTGGAGCCACTGCATCAAGACAGGCAGCACACCCTGTAAGTTTAAAAATGAGCAGCAAGGCAAACTAAACTTTTACAGAAACATGTTATTGCTTTCAACACCTGCCTTTATTTGCCATGATTATTTTCGACCTTGATTCCTGTATATTTGGCAGTTAAGTTAAATAAAAGATAAAGACAACACAGTTCTGCACATCTGCTTATTTAACCTTTATTCCATAACTGAACAAACACACACATTTACATGTCTGTAGACAGAAACAGGCCTGCTACCATTTTCTCCTGCAGCGTCATGCATATTTGCACCATTCAACCCTGATATACAACAATTACAGCTCTTTCAGGTCAGGTGAATGAATCACCGTCATGTCCTTATTTAACTTTATACACACTTAAAAATTGCTCTGTTTTGTTTACCCTGAAATTGTTACTTTAATCGAACCATCACCAGCAAAACCTCCTTCACTTTCAACCATCGGGAGTGCTACAAATAACTACAATATGTTTACTATATACACAATAACTTCATATACAAGATCACCTCTTTGGAGTACAACAAAGTCTTGTCCTTCCTTGTCATTGAAGACGTATGAAATGTCTTCAAGGAAGCTAAAGACATGGACATTTATATGTGTGGAGTATAAGAGGAGGCAACAAACCAGTTGATATATTTGCCATAGAGCTACATATTATCAAATTTATCTACAATTCCCAGTCCAGGTGCACATTTTTCCATGTTGGTTGGATAAATGACTCTGAAGTACAAAGTGAGAGATGATGTAGGCGAACATATTTACAGTATTCCACAAAAAGCACAGCAGGTCCACACACAGACGGACTGTTGGAAAACATTTCAACAGGACCAGGCGGGTGTGTGATGGTCTGCGTCGAGTCTGACTTCACAATGATAAAAGGCAAGAGATATGGCTTCGATGACAAATTATTTTACAGCATGAGAAACAATTTGGATGCTTAGTCATGAGATGGACTTAAATACACCCCTGCAACTGCAACTACCTTTGCAGAAAACGCAGACAACTACCGGATACATGTAAAAGGCCAGTAAACATTTGGATACGATTGCTGAATTACAAATGGAGTCTTCTAGAAATGTTTCTTCATTCGAAGCTCATTTGGCCCGTGTAAACTTTGGCAAACCGGAAATAAATTAAGAAAAACATGTTTAAAAACACAAATTACTTCTTTAAAAACATCCTATAAACTTCTACATTTGGATTCTGTCTCTTCATCTCAAGTAATGCAGTGCAATAAACAGCGTTTCTTACATACAGCTGCTACTTCATCTAGTAGATATTACCGTTTCAGTAATCCAAATAAATAGTTGACTTCAGCTTATCGATTACGTCTTCAAAAATCATAAAGCTATTTTACAATGGCTTCTTGTCTCTGCTTTCCTTTTTTGTACAAACACCCACTAATGTAAACCAAAACAGAACGACCACAACTGAGGTGAGTGTGTCAGCACGTTAACTCAGTCTGGTTCCCCCTGCAGGTGGAGGAACAGCTCTATTTGGGAGGCAGCGGGTTGTCGGGGGTTGTTGGAGTTGCCAGCTCCTTGTAAAAGTTCTCGATCTGCTCCTTGTACATCTTCACCACTACCGGCCGCTTCAGCTTCATGGTCGGGCCTGTGGGACAAGTAAACATTTAATGATGTTAGACACTTGGCTTCTTGGCTTACATGGCTTCTTCAGTCCTGAGGTTTAAAACCTGTTGATATGAGAGGTCACTTAGACCCCACTGTGGGTGGATGTATCTGAGGTTTAACTTAAAATGCTGCTGGCCCAAATCTGCAGGGGATTCAGCATAACAATAACTGAATTGAATTCTAAAAGTTAAACTATTTTAATCATGAAGTTATGAAAGAAAGGCTTTGATAAAAGGCAAATTGATGTATTTGTCTAATACAATTTAAAGTAAGCAAAATTCAAATTTCCACTGC